TGATGCTACAGTGATTCCCCCTAGGATTCTCTAACAGGACTTCTGGAGTGAAGAGTTGTGGACAAATTTACTGGTGGTTAGGGGAAGAGATTTAATTAATAAAATACAAATTTATTAAATTTTTACTTATGTAATGACTGAGGATTTTAGGACTGGCTTCAAGTTTGATAGTGTATTGCTTACTTAATATACATATATAATATGTATATCAATATTCTGACAAGATACCTAATTTAAAAAGTGGTTATTCTGGTTTATAGTACCGGGGGCTACAGTCCATCATGGAATAGAAAGTCTGAGAGCTGAAGTGGAAAGCTATTGGTCAGATTGTTTCTGCACTCAAGACACAGTGATAAATGCTTGTGCTCAACTAGCCTTCCCTTTTATGTTCTCTGAGACCACACCCTAGAGGGTGATACCACCCACATATAAATTGTGTCATCTCACCTCAGACAAGTTAGTCTAGAAAATCCCTCACATACCTATAGTAATTCTAAACTCTTGGTGGACAGTCAAGATTAATCATCACACATGGTTTTGATAAGTTTTTGAGCATATATTATTCCAAGTCCTAAGTGAGGAGCTAGGATCCATTAGTGAGCTTAACATGTGGATTTACAAAACCCTGCTGACTCTGTGTCTTTCTGCTCTTCCAGGAACATCCCAATTTTCATAACTGCATAGAGACTTCGCAAATGCTCGAAACCACAGTAATTTATCTCTACCCATACTCTGGCCATTACAATTGTGTGCATGAAACCTAATATGCCATAGTCAGGAGAGCCCACTATTTATTCATCAACCATTTATTATGAGGCAGGCTACCACAGGTGTATATGTTCTTGGCATATAAAATATGAATAACAACTAATACGCATCAGGACTAAGACTTTTACCTATATAAGTCTATAATCCTACAATAAAATGCACTGATAGATTAAATCCAGAGTATGAGACCAAAGCTTTTATTTAGTAAAAGATTGATTTAGTATAAGGATGGCTTGTCTTCAGACACAGTTTTTCTTACATAGGTCTGTATGTCTGTGAATATGGACACACGTACTTAGACATATATTCCTGTGCATGCATATGAACCCATAGAATGACACTGATTGTCTTGCTTTAACACTATCTACTTTATTGCCGTGAGATACGATCTCCAATTAGCTTACAACTAGGTTGGCAGCTGGTAAGTTCTCACAATCTTCATGCCTCACTTTACATACAATTCTAGGATTACAGGCATAACTTCAGCATACAGGATAATATGTGGGTTCTGAGGATTTGAAATGAGGTCCTCATGCTTGTTCAGAAAGTGTTCTTACAACTGAACATTGCCCAGAATATATTTTCAACAAGGCTGCAAATGTTGATTTTTAGCATCTTTCAATGAACTAGTTATTTCAGGATTTCTAGACCCTTGAGGCATCCCAACTTTCTAATGTATAGAAAATACATTAGAGCTGTTGTTGAACATAGTAAGGTCTTCTTTCATCCAAAAGTTCAAAGTCAAATTTTATGAAATGTTGAATGTACTTATTAGTATAACAAATGTAATTCTGAGATTCAGCTAAGGGTCTTGATGTAGGAATATTGTTATTTGATTTTTTTACATGAACCCATTTTAACCACTTTTCCAGATAAGAATGAGGTAGTAGTTTTGTTGGAGAAAGGCCGCTTGTTGGTTCCTGGTTGCCACACTAGCTTAGTCCCAAAATAATCACACAGAAACTGTATTAATTAAATCACTGCTTGGCCCATTAGCTCTATCTTATTATTGGCTAATTCTTACATATTAATTTAATCCATATCTACTAATCTGTGTATTGCCACATGGCTATGGCTTACCAGGTAAAGTTTCATCTTCTGTCTCCAGCAGGACTACATGGCTTCTCTCTGATTTTGTCCTTCTTCCTCCCAGCATTCAGCTCAGATTTCCCTGCCTAGTTCTGTTCTTCTCTGCCATAGACTCAAAGTAGTTATTTATTCATTAACCAATAAAAGCAACACATAGACACAAGGACCTCCCCCACCATAGATTTGTCAGTAATAATGTGTTGGGATGGACAGAGGCCATGAACCAAAGAGTATACTGCACCATCATGTTTGCAAGGAACAAAGAAATAGATGATTTACTACGTCTTCAGAAATAAATTCAGCTCTGCCAATACTTTGCCTTTAATTAAGTAATATCTCTCTTGAAATTTCAGCTTTCAGATTATAAAATAACACGTGCTCAGCAAGTCCTTCTCCTGGCCTTTTCCCCAGTCCCGAAAATAAGCTTAATCATTTACAGTGCTTGCATATACTCATCATGTTGTATACTCAGTATTATATGTGTCTGTGTGCTTATATACAAGCATGAAGTAGTGTATAAATCATTTTGTAGTTATATCTAGTCACAGGCCAGCTATTGGAATACAGAAGAATGAAAAGAATGTTAAAAACCATTTATAAATGCTTTGATTCTTAAATTTGGAGAAAAGTTCATGAGGATCCAGGCTTGTCTCCTTATGGTCAATACATATGCATATATCTTTTATATCAAATACTAACTGATAATATATATTTCAAGGCTATAATATTTAAATTATAGGTCATAGATCTTACTGATTACATTGAAACCAAAGCAGTTTTATTATACTATGGTAACATTACTAAGAATCTCCATATATTCCAAAACCTTAGGTGAGCGAGCCTCCTACTCCCAAACTGATTGGGCCTTCAATTTTGCAAGTTGGTTTAAATCTCTGAAACATGACCATAAAGCAAAGCTACCATGAGTTTCAAGATCACTTTCTGAGGTGACAATTGATATTTCTGTACATCTTGTATTATGATTTGAATAAGAACGGACCCTATAGGCTCATCAAAATGGGATAGATATGGAGTATTTTCCCTCAATTTGTCAAATACAAATGAACAAGACATTGTTAATATATTTATTGCCATATA